CAGTCCAAGGTATGGTGACTAGAAAATCGATGGATGGATAGTCGTACAAACTAACCACCTAAATCCAAGGGGTGAAATCATTTCTCAGTGCTGTCTAGTGGGGCTGCCGGTGCAGACTGGCTGCCACAGGCTGGACGCTGCACTTCAGGAACGGCTGTTGAGACTTTCCTACTGTACGTAACCTGGTATCTTTCGGCATGACAAGCACCGTATAACTGCACTCAATCAATCTGGCCATCACAAGTGCTGACCCAGTACGTACACCCTTGATCTTGATTTGTAACTATAGAGCTGGACACCACGATGGCACTAACAGATCACGGGCCCTGTTTGACAAGGGCGCTCAATGATGCCTTGATTGGAAAGCTCATTGCCGAAGTGTCATCTGATTCTCTCAATTTCATTTTTTTTTTTTTTAATTTTAGTGCCCTGCCGATGGAGTAGATTTCAGCGTCCTGATGGTGCTGCTCATTGGCAGTGACCCTGTCAATCAGACTGCGAGAAGGCGGGGTCGGTCGGCGATCGTCGTCATGGTCTTGCGCTCAGAAAGGAGGCCCTGATTGGATTCTGACAGCACGTGCAGCAGGCAGAACTAATCAATGTGTCACACCGTTCCGTCTGTACCTGTCTCTGCATCTGCGTCTGACAGACAGCAGAGTGCTCCTTCTGGTGGAAGGTCACTATTGATCTCTTCTGTCTCAATTACTGGAGCTCTCACTGTCTCATCCCAGAGCATCACTGAGAGAGACAGTACAGCAGAGTGTGGTAGAGTTGAGTTACACAAAGCACAGTATAGGTACAGACGCACACAGTACAATTACAGACACACACAGTACAGGTACAGACTCACACAGTACAGGTACAGCACTGACACATACAGTACAGCACAGATTTAGACTGTACAGTACAGACACACACAGTACAGACTCACACAGTACAGCACTGACACAAACAGTACAGGTACAGACACACACAGTACAGCACAGACACAGACTCACACAGTACAGTACAGACATACAGTACAGGTACAGACTCACACAGTACAGTACAGACACACGCAGT